CCGTTGGGTACGGGCCGAAGTTCTATAAATGGCGTTTTAAAAGAGTTACTTGAGAACATAATGATAACTTGACACTTTCAGCCGACGAAGAAAGGTTTTTAGGTAGAAAACGGAACGGAAAAAGTTTTTAGGTGAAAGTAGGGTACGAGTCGAGTATGGATACGAACTTCTCAGGTCGGGTGGGATATGGGCAAAAAACGTTTTCGAGTCGGGAACGGGCACGAAAACTGGATCAGTGCAAGAGCACTAAAAGTGCACATCTCGTATGAAGGTAGATATATTGCGGAAGATATGAGTGGGATAACTTAGGCACAAGGCTATTCAATCAACCGTTTTCTGTCACCTTTTACGTTAATTGTTGAGCTTTCCACGCTTAACGTTTGCCACACCGTTAAAAATCTGTGTTCTTTGAAAACTAAAGAACAGAATATATTTTCTTCAGCCTATTTGCACGTTTTTCTTCTTTAGCAGAATTTTTGTTCTTCAAAAAATTAGTTCTGCATTTTTATAAAGAACAAAAAACGAATTATTGTTCTTCTGACAACGTAGTTTTTATTCTTCAGCTTTCTGAAAAACAAAAATAAACATAAATCATATTTTTTGTTCTTCAAAGAACAAGAATCGACAGTCCATTAAAATATGCGTTTATGAAAATGCGTGTATCGATGCAAATTGAGGAGAGACGATGAATGTGATCAAATAGTAATAATGACTGCCTTCTATAAACATAAACCAATGAACCAATAAACATTTCTTTTGCTAGCTGCATGATCGTCGTTAGTTTTGTTGAAATCTTTATTGTCAAGTCATTGATTTTTGTGTTACTATTCTTCTTTCAGATTCTCTTCTGTCGTAATTTTGCCTGCTTATTTTCATTTGTGCTAAAGAAAAAATTTAGAAGTAAAAGAGGAGAGTCAGCCTGTGAGGCAGGGATGTGGCGGCCACGGGGTGCGGGGGGGGGGGGGGGGGGGGGCGGTGCCCCGGTTTTTTTTCAAGGCCGCGAAATTTGGTAAAATAGG